TCTAAAGCTCTTTTCTCTCCCCTTAACCGGTTGTTCTCATTTTTAAGCTGATGCACATCAACCTCATTATAATACACCTTAAATTGATACCGAGGACCCGTTTCCAGCTTGTTAAGAAGTGCATTCAATTGCCTTCCGCCACATTTGCTAGCTCTCTTGACTGCTTTTTGGAGACTGAATATTTTCTTTCTGAAGACCTCTAGAATTCGGTTATTGAGCATTATACCTCGTATACCTGATCGTTCAAATACTTTGCTTATAACAGCAGAGAGGACCGACTCATGGTTTTCTTTGTCATCTTCTTTACATTCCTTCGAAATCGTATAGATTAGTAGGCTGCAACAAAAATTTATTGGACGACGTTTAGGGTAAAAACAGCAGTCTAACCTGAAAAAAATGTATTTATTCCGACTCTTTCGGAAAATAACTTTACAATTCTTACTTGTTTATCTCGTAAGTAAACGATGGTAAATTAATACCCGAAGCGCTTTCCGAGCTACCCGATTCTTCTCCCACTGCTTTCACGCTTATAAAACAGGAAACGAGCAGAAGGAGGAAGGTGTGGCTGTTTTGACTAGCCATTTGACGAGGTTCAATCTGCTCCTTGTTCGACAATTTACATATCAAAACAAAGGAAATTTGTTCCTCTCTCTGATTTTGCCGGTACATTTTTAATTTTCGCTTGCGTAAGAGAGAAATCGCCCAAGACTCCTTGCTCGGTCTTGTTTTGACCACGAACGCCTTCATAATTTTGAAGGACCCGCTCGGGAAAAGGTGAAAATGACGAGGGAAAAACTTTATTTTGTAGTAAAAAAATACACAAAATGGAAAGCCATGATATTATAGTTCAATATTTCGGTGGTACATTGTTAACTTTTTATACAGAGAGTCGGCAAGATGATATAACATCCAAAAATCGTACTCAATTTGAGTGGGCCGATAAAGTGGGCGTGGTCACGAAATTCAGTAAGAGACTATTTGTATTTGTTTGATATCCTTTCTTCCCTGCTGGTCTATTTATTGAAAAGCAATACCGTGTTCTCAGAATGCTCGAGCGCTTATTCGTCTGATTAAGAGATTTTTATGCTCAGTACAGGATGTGCAGTGCAATACTCAGGAATCTTCTTAGCATTAACGAGAGCCCGCTGCTGCGCCTTCTAAAGCGCGCTCCTTCTGCGCACTCCACCTCACTTAACTAGGAAATAAACCAACAAATCGACGAACAAACAATTCGGCTGTAAATAGACCAGAAGGAACAAGGTTGTCTAGGAATGGAGGATCGAGACCAAGTGTGTTGAAAGTAAGAGACCTTGCCTTGGCTAATTTACCACTGAGCGAGCCGGTGCAAAAAACTCTTCGGAAAGGTTCTCGACCGGATCTTCGCCTGGAGAATAATTCTCCTCAATCTGGACAAGTTACAAAACCACTCATATTTGCAGAATGATCGAAGACCGATCAATGTAAGGTTTTCACTCATTATGCACTGATTTACGGCCTTTGCAAGTGAGAGACATGTTTCATTTCGATTCCCCACCAATGACATCACATTCAACCGCTGCTAATCATTTTAAGGCTATGGTTTTACGGCTGGAAAAGCGGAAAAAAACGAATTTTCTCGCAAATGATATAACAAGAAGTGAACGAAAATAAATACCGAGACTTTGTCTCGCTCCTCTAAAGCTAAAAAGAAATGAATGCAAAAAGACACGCAATCGTAGGATTCAGTTCCCCTAAACATGAGGGAAAGTCTCGTGCCGGTTTGAGCTGTCCTATGCTGCCCTACATGCGATGAATCGAGAGGCAATCAGCCTCTACTTATCTCCACAACAGAGACTTTGCATGCCTTTCAACATCAAGTTTTCAATTTCTCTCTAAAGATTGTTTATTTATTTCCGACGTAAATTTGCTTGTAATATGCCTTATTTAAAAAAGGAAATGACGTCACCATCGTGAACAAAAAGGTTGTGTGCAAATGGTACACTTGAGCTTTGAACTGACAAGACGAAAAACACTTATCATGCACAGATCTCAAGCGCATTCAACCCATTCCAAAGCTGAAATGTTACAAGTTTCTTTCACGTTATTGATATAAGGAGATTGAACCAAAAACTACGTAAGTAAGATCTCACTTCCTCATCCTCTATCTTGTCTTAATTGAAGTCGTCACTCAGTAGCTTATGCTTGGAGCAAGTGGAGGCCAAAAAAAAGCGAGAATTTGGTGGAAAAATCCCTTCGCCTGAGCCAGGCTTCGCTCGTTATTTCTCACGCCTCCTCTACCCGGGGAATGTGTTACTTTATGTAAGCGTGTTATTATCGTCCCTGATAAATATTGAATCGCATCTCTTTACCTTTGGAGGTTACGCATAAGATAAAGAAACAAATCGGACAAAATTCTCGATTGTGTAAAGAGGGATCAACCTGCAAATAAGGTTTAATTCGAGGTTCTTTTTGTTTGAACGTGGTTGTAAGCTCTGTTTAAAGTCAGTGTTGCCTTCTCTCAAACGTACACGCAAGGTCGCGTGAACGTTTGTCAGTAAGCTCGAAGTGTTTTGGTTTCAAATGAATTTTGACACCGATTGATGTTTAGTGAGATATTGCTTTCTCTGAGTAAATAGATGATAAACACATTTGTTGCTTTTACAAATCAGAACGTTTACTCAGTCCAGCAAAATGTTCATCTCTTGACTACTTTGTGAGCATACGCATCGGCGCCACTGAATGAGTGTAATTTTAATCAACGAAATTTAATTTCTATTGTCAGAAGTTTGTTTGAAATAAGTATCCCGATGTTGTTTATACAATTCTCTTAGCCTTTCTACTCGATAAACTACGACGGAGAACTGAACAGTAGAGCTTTTCAGCTGAAGCAATTTTGGTGGTATATATGCTTGTGTTGTGTCCCAATACTGTAGAATTCACGCAAACGAGCACAATACCGTCTATGCATTTTGATTAAAAAATAAAAAGCAGTAACAATGATAATTATTATAATTGGAAATGGTTAATTATGAGATGAATCAGATCCCACAGTAAGCGTAGAACAAGCTAACGTTATTTTATTTCCTAGTCTGAACTTGATTTAAAGTAACCGCAAACTGCTCTATATTGATGTAAACGTATAAACACAAGATAAGTAAACTTGAACGGGAACCGTGAAAATATCTTACATGAGAGGAACTAAGGCTTATAAAATTGAAATTAATAATGAAATAATCCCCTAAATAATTTAGAATGATTAATTAGATAATCCTCTGAACTAGTGAACTAAAGAAGTATTAACTCATACTTGCGCGGAAAATTTCAAGGCTTCTACGTCAGTTACGTATTGACTTGAATTATCGTGAAAAAGGTCCTTTTATGGAGCGCTTGCTAAGTAAGTTCGGAAATCTAAGAGCTGATTGTGCTTTGAGGTTACAATAACTTCAACACCACTCTTTATTTGATCTCGCGGTCACTGTCATATTTCACCGTGCGGCCCGCTAAATTCAAAAGTTTGTTTGAAAATGCTTGAATCTCTCTAGCCCCGTTTATTTGAACTGGAGATACATTGGAGGTACATTTAAGATCTTGATAACCTCGTTTCTCTGTCCGCACTGTAAGTTACGGAAACTCATCTTTTTCCCCTCGAACTTATGGCCCGCGTGCTTCGCGCTTGAGAGATGAATGCGAGAGGAAACAACCCATGCCAGTCCGTAACTTACAGTTCGGAAAGAGCAAACAAGGTAGCGAGTTGGTATCTACTGTTTGCCTGATGTAGATCGTGTTACGCGGTTTAACCAGACGCCAAACGTCTGTCAGCAAGCTCTCCTAGCTAGTTTCACAAGCGTCTCGCTTGTACTCTTGCTTGATGTGCAAGGAGCAACGCTAGTTCGTTTCTTTATGTTGTACGGTTTACAAGCTTCGGGAAAGGTAAGTTCTATTCTGAGACAGCTTTCATAAATTGAACCGTTTCTATTTATTAATATTGTATCTGTATATTGTAGGTTAAATCCGGAGGAGAACCGACTATCAAGCCGTATCAAGCGGTAGGTACACATAGCTTTGGCTTAGCCTATTTAAGTGCTGATAAACTTGCTGTGAAACCTTTTCACAGCGGACACTTTTCTGATTTAACGGAGGCGGCAAGCGTGGCTGACGAATTTAACAGATGTTCCGTTCTAGTGGTATTTATGGTGAGAACATCGAATTGCGTACGTTAAGTCGGTTAGGGTGGCAAAGTAAGTTTGCACCTCTAAATGATATCTGCATGTTGAATTGGTTTCTCTCGAAATTAATCTATCGGTAGGAGGTACTGGGCTCCTGCTACTGCAGAATGAAGTTAGTAGGTAGACGCTTACTGCAACAAGAGACATAGAAACTAAATCAAAACGTCATTCATCATTGATTGAACAAACGAGAAGAGCAAACCGTCCACAGGGAGCAGGAGGGGGTTGTCATTAAGAAGATGTTCCTCTGACAAGAGTATGATTCTCGATTCTGTCTTTTTCTTCTTTGAAAAAGGGAGCACAACTTTGCCATTTAACGCTTTTTACTCTTCTCGTCGTCGAGAAGTATCTCAAAATGAAGGTCACACTATGGCTTCCTTGAATTACATAGCGTAGATTTAAGTGCCTCGCCATGAACCATTTCGTAACACTGACTCATCCTCTTCGACTCTCCCCCCTCACCCCGCCCTTCGTCTTGTAACTATAAACAAACTTTCACCTTTGACGTAAACAGAATTCCGCGCAAACAGTTCTTTTGGACTTTACCATACCATCGTATCATGTAATTAGTTTTGGCCTTTCGCCTAGCAGGAAAAGTCGATTTGGCTTTTGAAATCAAACCATTTCGTCCCCTAATTGCCGCGAAAATACCGGTTTTCGTCTAAATATTTTGTTACCATTCTATCTAAAGAAACCCCTATTAGTTGAGAAATGTTTTTCAGAATCATTTGAATAAATATTTTGGTAGACGCAAAGGCAACGTAACTCGTGATTATGATATGGAGATGATGTGATATGACCTTGGAGCCTGTAAACAACTATGGTCGCTACGAAAACGTTAAGTCACTAAATTTTCAGCAATCGCGGAATAGTTCTTCTAGGATCATTTCCGTTTGTGGGTAACACATTGTAATGTCTGGTTAACCCCTTTGCAAGACCTTCCTCTTCTCGGCTTCATTCCCTCACGACTTAAGATGCTCATGCAGTTGCGGAGTAAACAAGTTAATTGTTTCAACCACGTTTTGTGATGGTTAATTAAAACTTTCCCCTCTCTCTTTAGGGTGAAAAGAAGAAAATCGAGCACTAACTAATGGCAAACTGTTGACAATTCATCTTATATTTTGATAACTAGCCCCCTTGAGAACTTTTCATGGGGGCTGCTTTGTTTTCGCATCGATAAATTCTTGTAGACTTTCAAAATATCCTTTGTTGTTTATTGAGACGTGAAAATATTCCTTTTTTGACGAAACATGACCCGCCGGCGTCAAAATTGTATCAGATCATGTCGTAAAGGTCAATTCAATGGACAATTATGTAATGAATTCAATAAAAAGGGGACCTATCCAAAATATTTAGTAGTTGGAAAAATAAACCTTTAAAACTTGAGATACCTGTACTTGATAAAATCTTAGTTCCATTAAAACTTTATCATTGGGCAGAAAGTTTTGAATAGTTGGGTTAATTATATGGCGGACAGAGTCTAAAAAAATTCCATGGTCGAAAGTAAGATGTTTTTGTATGTAATCAAGTATTCGTTTGGTCTTTTCTCGTCAAAGTGATGAGCGGCATCGCTTTTTTAAGGGAAAAAAAACGAGAGCAATTTTTGGTGGAAATATCTCTGAGATGTGCTTCATCTACAGGAGCGATAACAAATGGTTTCGGGCTGATTTTAATCGCTAAAAATCAGCAAGGAATTTCTTAGTAAAGAAGTTAATAGACAAAAACAAACAAATGGTCGAAATACTTCCCATCGAGTAGTAGTCAACCTCGTCAGTGTCGCTGGTTCACCGACCATTGAGAAGGCTTGCAAATAGCGCAATGGCTGAATTAAAAATGCAACTTCAGAGTACAAAAGTTTGAGAATGGAGGCCTAGACCGAAAAAACAGACGAAGGCTTTTCGCAATGTTTCAAAATGACTTTGTCATTCCTAAACGCCTATTTCTTGATGGATGGTTAGTATCAACCACACTTTTAAAATTGTTTTCCTTCAAATGGTGTAAAAATTCCATTAATGAAAACATTTCTTAACAAAGTGTACTTCTTCTTTTGCAGATTATTTAGTGCTCAGACATGTTAAAGGGAGCAAGAGTAGCACTTTTACAGCTTTTACTATATGGCCTTCTATGTGGAGGTGAGCGTAACACAAAAATACAGCTGTTTCCAGAGAGGTTTTTCTTTTGTCAGAAGACAGCATCAATTATAGGTCAAATGTCTGCTGCCAAACAGTGAAAAAACTTTGCCATTAACTGTCCACTATGAAAAATCAAATTTTTGCTGATAATTTTATAATATTTACTTAATAATAGCGATGTTAGTGATGACGACGATGATAGTAACATATAACGACGATGAATATATCGATGATGATAGTAACATATAACGACGATGAATATATTGATGATGATAGTAACAGATGATATAATAATGACGCTAAAAGTAAACAAGCGTCTACTTAGAAAGAGTAATTTTAGGGGGACGGGTATCGATTAAGAATTATAACGCTGCATTATTTTCTTTTTTGGTAAACTCGTTTAATGACCTTTTTTGTCGATGAAATCATTTGCGAGAATCTTTCTCCACTATCATGGATAAACTATAGAGGAAACAGTATGCTTTTTTTTTTCCTATGAAATTATTTCCGTAAATGAATTTTGATTTTCACGCCATAGTCCCTCCCCTTGATTTTTCAAATGGTCAGTAGCTCAGAGAAACCCAGAATCTTCATTACTCGATTGTTATATATCACGGTAAGATCGAATCATACATTATGTCTCCTTCAACGATCTAAAACATGCTCTTTGTAATCACTCAAAACTTCAAAGTAAGATATCTTGTCGATTCAAATTCATCGGCAAAAAAATGAAACGGGGAGTTAATGCCGCAGAGAAGAAAACATCTTGTTTAAGGGTTCGACTGTGTTTTAAAGTATTTTGTTAGATAGCTATGATATAGTTATTTGTTTATATGTAGCATTTGGTCGAGATTTGAGGTAAAAGTCCGGAGTTATTTGGGTTTTAGTTATCACGATGAGTTTCTTAAATTTTGAGTGCCTTGTCGAGATGGATTCTTTGATCTTGGATATTATAGTAGTCGTGAGTGGCGCAAAGCGTGTCCTATTCGTTTCATTAATACGGAAAAAAACGTGAGCCTGTCGTGTTGTTGAGTTTTGAACGACTAATAATCTCGTTATTATTTAGGTCCAAATTTAGCTTTTGGAATATCGTACGATGGATTAATTAAGTATTCAGACGGATTAGGACAGACTCAGTGCCATTGGAAACACTTTCCAATTGACGTATTATGTACTTATTGAATGAGACAGAGGACCGTGCGTTTAATATTGTCCCAGTCGAGCTAAATATTGTCCCAGTCGAGCTAAATATTGTCCCAGTCGAGCTAAATATTGTNCCAGTCGAGCTAAATATTGTCCCAGTCGAGCTAAATATTGTACCAGTCGAGCTAAATATTGTCCCAGTCGAGCTAAATATTGTACCAGTCGAGCTAAATATTGTCCCAGTCGAGCTAAATATTGTACCAGTCGAGCTAAATATTGTCCCAGTCGAGCTAAATATTGTCCCAGTCGAGCTAAATATTGTCCCATCCAGCCCGACCAAACTCGTTAATTAGGCATCTATCATATGATATTAAGAGCTAAAAATTTCTAAAATTGTTTCAACCAAAATAGGATGTATATATATAAAAAAGAAGGGTGCGCTCTCGACAACTTCTAAAAGGTTCTATAATGAAAATGTTTCCTTTTTTTTTCTTCGATTTAAAAGATGGTACTCATAATTCATCGAGAAGCGCGACTCAATTTCTTATTTGTTTTATTTTAAGACTAATTCATTCATATAATGCAAAAGAGCTGTGTAAGTTTCAGGTCGCACGGCCGGCCTTTCCCGGACTGGCTCACGTCATTCCGTCCGGCCCCACACACGTCAGCTCTCAGTATGGTTTTCTATGGGATTGCCCGCACGAGGCTGTACGGATCATTTGATAAAATGTAATCAGTTCGATTTCATCCTTGGTTTGTCTTGTTTATTTACAACCGGTGGCTCAAACAAAGTTGTCTCACTGAGGAAAACAAATTACAAGTTTTGTGAGTCTTTTGGCGCGTTCCTTTTAAGTCTAGGTGCGAGGGACACATGCCACCTTTTGGTATCTTTGTTTAGCTGTGGTTTATCTTTCGGTTCCAGGTTCTACAGATCCTGACTGCAGACAGTACAAGACATGCACAGACTGCATCGTGGGTAGTCCAGAGTGTAGTTGGTGTGAAGACACCGTAAGCTCAATAGTTTTATTCTGTGGAATTTTTTTTAAAGAAGTAATCTGTTTTCATTCCCAGCTTATTTAGTCATCGTTTCCTCCTCAGCATCTTGCCATCTTATCAACCAATCATACAACAAAACAAAAACAATGGTGGCATGTTCAAACGCGTTTTCCCGCTCTTGTTCACCATTTAGCATTGGCTTCTTCGTCTGCAACCTTTATTCTGATTAGTCGTTAACTAGACGGTACTAAATCGAAATGCACTCTAGTCAATAATTTCATCTTTGAGTTCTATTTTCTATCGGACCTCTTGAACTAACACTGGTTTTAAATATGTATTGAACGCATCTTTATTCTATCGCCAGTTGGCTTGCCTTAGAATAACGCCAGGTACTGCGGACTCAGAGGTAGTCAATCGGCTAAAATGTTTCTCAAATGGCATACAATGCCCTACTCTTCTCGAACATTCCGACCTGAGGATGATATAGATAAAAGTTTTCTTAATCTGACACCTATTCCATGATTAACAGTTATTCACCAAAGTGGAGGTGAATAGTGGTGGATATTTACTGAGCTGCGAAGTTGCGAAGTAATATCCACCACTTTCACCGGCACCGAAGTGAATAATTGTTTTAGTATACACCCCACAGATATAAAAAAAATAAGTTAATTTCTTTCAATATACCAAAAAATGGTCGGAAATTAAACTCTTGACGTGCAATTCGGCTGCTCGGAGGTGAATCGTACGTGATTCGCCTCAAACTAGCCAATCAGCGCGCGCGAAAAGCTTTCTTTACTTGTGCGGTATTTGCTAATAATGGTGGATATTCCACTTGCTGTGAAATTATTTTTAAAGATATTGCAAAACAATGTTTCTTCTTATGTCGTTTTCTGTTTTTCTTTCCCTACAATATAAATATAGGATTATCACTATTTAGATCAACCGAGAAGAAGATGCGACCTCCATAGAAACCATCAACAAAATAAATGCAAAAAGATCTCTAATCCAGGATCTGGATCTACAGTTCATTCGGTAAGCTAGGTACAGGGCGGAAAATGTATCCACCGACAGCAAGTTAAACAAGCCTAAATTAATTTTGATTATTATTTTGAAGCTATGGATTGTTTCATATGCGTGGGCAAGCCGTAAATGGCGAAAATTGATAACGGTTTACATGATCACGTTTTGTTGTACACTAATGGACCTGTTGTCAATCAGTGGGTCATTAGGTGACAGTCACTCGCCCACTACTTTCTATATTTTCTCTTTATAACCTAATATTGTCATCTTTCTCGATTACAGCACTTTTACATCATTCAGTAGTCATACAGGAATACCACTAATGTTGATATGTGTACTTGTTTCCATGGCACCCAATACACCACAGTACCTGTACTGGGGTTGCAGAGTTGCTTTTCAAACAAGTTCCTTTAAAAATGAAAAATTGAATTGATTTGGATCCGTCAATTGCAAAATATCATCGACACACTTTTAAAGTCACTCTAGATGATGTTAAACCTTCTCTTTTAAGTACATACACTTAAGAGCTATTATCTATGTGTTTTTTTTTTTTTTTTTTTTTTTCAGAACAACGAGTCAGATGGTGACCGCGATGACAAAGTTTCTCCTCAGAATATTACACTACGTCTTAGACCAGGTACCATACCTTATATACTCTCGATACAATTGTTATAATAAGGGGCCGATTGATTGTTTGGTCCGTTGCTGAAATATTTACGTCTCACGGACAACAACGGATTTTACATCATGCTACATTTTGAAAAATTGATTTTCAAGAGAATGGAATCTTTTATTGAACAACATAATATGCTTTAAAATATATGAACTTCATATATTTCATTGTATCTCATAATATGCTTTCTCCATCTCAATATGGCTTCCGTAAAACACTTTCAACTCAGCATGCAATCCTGGATATTGTGAGCACCATACAGACAAACATGGACAAACGCCTATTTTCGTGTGGAGTTTTTATTGATCTAAAGAAAGCTTTTGACACTGTAGATCATAGAATTTTACTACATAAGCTAGATCACTATGGTTTCCGTGATGTCATCAATAAATGGTTTTCTTCTTACCTACAAGGCCGAACCCAAACAACTCAAATTGATTCGTATATTTCTGCTAGAAGTAATATTACTTGTGGTGTACCGCAAGGCTCCGGCCGTCTTGGGCCCACTACTTTTCCTAATCTATATTAACGACATTCAAGA